TTTTTTTTGTAGGATTAAACTATACTTAATTTTTTAGGAAGTTTGGGGCATTCTTTCGGAGTATCTCCTGGCTTTTATTTATTTCTGCACCGTAAACATTATTGAAATGCTTCTAAACAGAAAAAAGAAAACACACATATATAAATAAACCGTAAGGCATATGAACCCGAAAACGTTAAAGGTTTGAGGATAAGTTGAACCTCGCAATATTTTACCAAGTCACTCACAAAATAGAATAGAACGGGCGGCTCGCCGGTGGCGTACGTAACGCTGGAGCGCACAGCCTTTCCTTGAAAACGTCGCTATGGTTCATAAACTTACAGATTTTGCTTTATTCACATTCGATAACTTCAAGTGCGTCTTCGAGGAGAGGATACACCGATATTAGTGTAATTCGCAGGCGAGACCTCAGTTTTGTTTGATGTTTTAAAAACGCCTCCCGCCTCAAGGCCCTTTTTTCAGAAATTTATGCGGTCAGCAAAACTTGCGCCGGAGATGGCTAGAAATCGGAATGTCCCAGATAAGGGCGAACCTAGTCGTTAAATTAAAATTCTCAGAGGGATTCTCAGCTTCAGCCAAAGAAGAAAAAACTAAAATTATTCCAGAGAACAAGTTTGACGATAGAAATGTTTTGCTTTTCCATGTTCGTCGGAGCCGCGCTGAGCGCTGAAAAGCGTCTCGACCTCGGCCCAGTTTACGGGTGACAGACGGGCGCTTTTGTCAAGACAGAAGCGCGCCCCGACTGACTCACTCGCTTTCGATGAAAGAGAGGGAGGGAACAATGGTGTGTCTGTTGTTGAGGTCGTTCATTGAATATGATTGATATTGTGCAGCGAGCCTGTAGCTTGTTCGTTCTTGAACCGAGTTACGGAAAGGGGAACAAAACCGACCGTTTGTTTCACCTATCGCAGCGCTGTTAGGCGACAAAGTACCCTTTACAGGGCGGCCAAAATAGAATTCAACTTTGACTGCTCCCCTTTGCTAAAGCGTTCGTAGATTCCTCTTCATTTCTGAAGTTGTGCATGGTACGAAACACACACACACACACACACATGCCCGTATAAAAATAAAACTATAAAAAAAAACGACATTGTTATTGTAGTGAGTGCGCAGGCGAGCTGTGTCGCCTGCGCACTCTTGAGGGCGACATTCTGTCGCCCTCAAGATTTACGATGAGTTTTTGTTTTCTGTGTAAGTGCACAAAAAATGGTGACCGGGGCTCATCTCCGCGAGGACGTTATTTTCGTGGACGATGTTAACGAAAGCAAGATAGGCTGGAACGCTGTTTTCACGCGTATGGCGCAAGGGACCAGGAGTGAATGGGTGAACTTAGCCACGGAATGTCTAATGGAAATCGGAAAACCTAGTGTTAATATCAACGTTAAAACAGATGCGATAAAACAACGATTCTGATAAAGGCCATTGCGTGAACAATGAAGGGCACAGTCTCACAACTTCGAGAAACAACAATAACTGCTTGTGTTCACGTTGAGAGTTAATTTCATTAGTAATCTTTGCACTAAACATCAACGGCACCAACTTAAAAAAAAATGATTACTGGACAAGTGATGCTCTGGAGATAAGGTCAGGTTTGTTTTGTTTTATTGGCAACCAGACAACGGTGTTTGTCGTTTAAGTGGGACCATAAAGCACTCCGTGTCGACTGGGACTCGACAACGCAAAGACTGCGAAAGGTTGGCGTATCCGCGTCTGTTTAAAGCAGATTTCTTTTTTTCTTTTTTTGGCTGTCAGCCAGCAACGGTGTTTGTCGTTAAAGTAGGGCTACACAGAACTCCAGGCTCCAGGTGACTCGACAACACAAAGGCAGCGAAATATCCTCGTATGCTTTACATCTAATCAGGAAACATTTTTTTTTCTTCCTTCCCCTCGACCTCCTCCCGAGCGCAGTGCCGGTGGTGTTTTTCCGCGTGGGAGCAATCAGACACCCTCATGATCCCAACGTGAAGCGCCGCCATAAAGACAGGTGACGAAGGCTGCCGCTTTTCCGTCTGATCCCGCCGTCGTGTCCCGTATCTGGCGGCTTGTAAAACAAAAACATCCCAGGTGACGAGACCCAACAGGACAGGGCCTGCCCTCCGTAAACACCGGACCCCACCAGATTGTACGTCTGCGACAGCGCTTTTGATTTCGACGCGCTGCGGAAACGAAACCCGCCTTTTCCTTTCCCCCCCCCCCCCCCCCCCCCCCCCGAAATCGCTCTGAGCTCTTCAAAGTCTTTGTGTGACTTTTTCTTTTTTATAGCTAGAAAAGAGTTTGCCTGTTATTACATTCCTTAGTGTCCTAAACCCGTATACATTCAATAAAGCCGCCATTTGTTTTCTACCAAAATGTGCTTCGTCATGCATCTTAGTTGTCTCCTCGTGCAAAGCGGTGGATGCCTAAATAAATGCCGTAGTGGTGCTGTATCACCACCTCCTTCTCGTGAAGTGATCAATCCTCGAAATATGGGAAGAAAGTTTTCTTTCTAACGTTTAATGAACGTTAAAATAAATCGAATTAAGTGTGTCATGACTACAACGCTAGAAGAACGGAACGTGAAAGGGAATCGTGAGAATAAATGAGACGCTCGTGCTGAAGGGTGTAGGAGAGATATTTTGGCTGAAGGGAATAACCAAAAAAGAACGAGTTTCAAAGACGTAGTAGGAAGTAGTGATGGACTGAACCTGCCGAACCTCATATTCGGCGAAATTCGGCAGATGCCGAGCTTTGGAAGGAAAGTTCGCCTAAGATTCGTCAAGTATTCGGCAAACGTCTGCGCACGCGCAAGGCAGTGCAGTGCAGGGCAGGGCACAGGGCACAGAAGACAGGACAGTGGATTGCAAATGAACGCCGTGCGGTCGTCGGTCATCACCGTGCACTGTAGTACTAATAGTAGCACCAGCGGTTACGGCGAGGTGCGGAGTATAGGCGACATGCTAACTGTGTGTTTGTCAGCCTTTGCAAGTGTGGTTCTCTGCAACATTTTCTGCCTCAAAAACAAAATATTGACCAGGAATTGACACAGTCCACTGTACAAGTGACAAATGATGCGATACGTTCTGGATGACGTGATTTTCATTTGATCTTTCTAGGGATGCAACGAGGTAGTTGCAACATTGGCCGACTTTAAAGCTCAGCTCGAAATTAGAGCAATTTTGTTTTCGGTTCACAACTAGTTTGTGCCAAAACCAAATGATATTTGTTTTTAATTAGCGTTATTTCGGGGTTTTCATCTATCCTCATACAACGAAACACAGAACTGTCATGCTCGACGTTGCACATCCGACATTCCTAACTTCTTCCGCCTTCCTTAACGTTCGCGTGGGTACGAATGTAAGAAACTGGCATTTTGAAAGTTAAAAACGAGACGTTGTGAATATGGGACGCATAGTTTCGTGCAAAGATCGAAGTCAAGTGACTCAAATCGAAAAACACGCATATTTACAATAATTTTGTTATCTCTTCTGGTGAACGCTCAGCAGCTGTTGCATTCATTTTCGCGCACCAAACGGTGACTGTCAGAAAAAGTAAGAACACAGTGTTACAACCTTTATTTTAGCAATGTGCACACACTTGCAGGCTTGCGCTGATGAGGCCTCAAAACCGAAAATCGCGTATCGTGACTTGTTGTCACACCACTGCTGCAAAATGTTGCTCTAAATTTGCTGGTAAACACAAAAATTACATGGGTACAATTATCTTGTAGAATATAACCCTATTTCAAAATAACTGTGTCAATATGCACAAAAAAATCTTTTTTTTCCCCGAAAACAAAAACAGAAAATATTTATCTCTTAATTCTGACAACAATTTTTTTTTGCCGAATTTAAAAAAAAAAAAAAAAAAAAATGTTCGGCGAAAATTCGGCTTTGCCGAATGCCAAGATTCGGCACCGAATTTTCAATTCGGCAAAACTTCGGCCCATTACTAGTAAAAAAACTAAATATTAAATTACAAAAAAAAATAATCTGAAATTTGTATTTTATTAAAAAAGAAAAGGCCTCAATATTAGGCGATGTTTCGTGCTAAGAAAGATGCCACTCTCGATGTTAGCAGATACATTGAGTTCAGAGGGACATGACATCATCTTTCCATTGAAGAAAACTGAAACCAAAAACAGACATGAAACACCGCTCTCGAAACCGTCCACGCTTGTTGAATTCCGGTGGCGCTGCGGTCTCTATTCCGATGTTCCCGCTTGCGTAACAGTTTCATTGAAGAGCAGATCTGTCTATGTTGTATACGCGTAGGCACACTCATACCCAGTAGCAGGAGTAGCGCCTCGCCTCGCTCGTTACCCACCAATCGATAGCGCAAACGTGCGCGTCTAAACGTAGCCCACGCCAGAGCACGGTCCACGCCGGTCGACGTCGCGGGGCGCTGCGCGGCCTAGCCACAAATCCTGGAAACCTAGGGAAAAGCCTACGTCCAGAACAGCGCCACCGTCGCTGAAATCGAACCCCCCGGCGCGGACGATTCTATCCCCAACTCTACTCAAGACAATCACTATTCACAAACATGACGTAACTCGAATGTAACGAACGAAAACTGGAATTAAGTGCGAAGATGCCGTTGTTGCGAGCGAATGCTTTATGACAAATCGTTCTAAATTATAGAGGGAACAGAAGCGCGAGGTGCCTAGAACCAAAATCGAAACATCTCGATCGGACTTGGCGCCATTTTGTTTTTCGATCTTGTCTCGTCTGCTCCCTCGAGATCAAGACCCGGGGCGCTGGAGCTCCGCCGCGTTTGCTTCGTGCTTCAGCGAGCCCGGGGTTGGAATTCCGACTCCCACCGGTCAGAAAATCGCCGGAGAGTTAGTTATTCTCTCGCCGGTTCCAAAGGTTCGGAGTCGATCTCGGCGTCTTCCGTCTCTTACGTCAGCACGACCTCAAGCTGCGCGAGTTGAATATCCGAGCGCAGCCAGGCGCAGCTGCCGGAGGTGGCGGCCGTTGATAACAGACGGCGGCGGCGCGGCGCCTGGGGTCGAGGCTGTCGGGGGCTCCTCCTCCTTCCTTTCCTCCTCCCTCCCCATCCGCCTCGCGCCGTCTGCTTCGGGACCTGCTCCGTGGGACCGAGGAGCCACAGTGTGCGTTTGCCGAGCGGCCGATGAAGACGGACAAAAAATTCCTGGACGCTCTGTCGTCTCCGTTCGGGGTGCGTCGAGGCAATGCCGACTACGAAGTGGCCCCGACCGAGAAGGAGGCCGGCATGCCGGGCCCCGACGAAGACGTCTTCCTCGCCGTGGACGTTATTCCGATGAAGCCCGAGTCGCCCGGCGTCGGCGACGACCTGGGCTCGAGCGAGGAAGACTTGCCCGTGCGCGGGAACTGGGGAGGCAAGCTGGACTTCATTTTCGGCTGCGTGAGCTACGCCGTCGGCCTCGGCAACGTCTGGAGGTTCCCGTACCTGGCCTACGAGAACGGAGGAGGTGGGTACATTCCGATCCCCCATTCAAATCTGCTTTTGTGTCGCGTAGCGTTTTTTGTTTTTTTCCTTCGAGAGCTTTTTTTGAGAGAAACCGGGCCGGCCCGCCACCGCGCGGGAAGCTGCGCTCTCCGGCGCGGACATTGCCGGGAACCTTCTCCGCGGTGCATTTGCTCGGCTCGTATCGCTTTGCCCCTCGGCGTCTCAAGCTCCTAATTTTTATCTTTTTCGAGAACATTAATATAACCTTGTTTACATGCTCTTCTTTCTTAAGTGATTTTTTACCTTTTTGTCATTGTAAATAAACGTTTGTACTGTTTATAAAAAGTGTGTTCGAAAGAATTAAAAAAAAAATGGAGCCCGGTCTGCGACCCTATTGGTTAGAGGCAGCGACCCAAAAGATCGATACGTACACCCCCGCGCTTTTCTTGTTTCTCTTTCCCGGGCTTATTTGTCGAGTTAAGATGGTCAAGACATGTTCCGAGGCACACGTCGTTTATTCGACAAAAAAAAAAAAAAAAAAAAAAAAACATTTTCTTTTTGTACACCCCGCGCGCGCATTGGTTTGAAAACGGCGTTTTTTTTTTTTTTTGGCGCTGCAACTGCCGTGGTGTCGTGTTTCTGCCGCCTCTGGCGGTGGCGTCGGCGGGAACGGTGAATCCGACGACGTGCTTTGTGGGGAGGCTCGCCTCTCAGGGTTGTCTGAAGGTCGGTCGCCGGCTCTGGGCGACCTTCCGAACGAACGCCTTTAAACGTGACTGGATCGACGCCGTGTTTGTTGTTGTCGTAACTTTCTGTTTAGACTTTCGCGCACTGACTGGTGGCCCACGTTACGTAGAATGCGTTCTGCTGAAACAAACAATTGCGGACAGGGAAAAAGAGAAAAATACCAGAGGAGAGGCGCACCTCCTGCTTCGCTTTTATGGCTTCCCCCCAAAGCGCTCCTATTTCCATTTTCCGCATCGATGAGAGAGATATGTGCGGGACTAGAGCGAGCCTGGCTTGGAATGTGATCTTTCCGGAGACCGATTTTTGCTTTTATTTTTTTGAATTTCTTTTTCCTTCATTCCTTCGTCTGAGTTCTCGTTTGTCGGCTACTTTCTAGTCCGCCGGCGATCTGGTTCGTCCGCTTTTCAGATTTTCTTCCCGTTAGCACGTAATCTTTCTTTTGTGTTGCTCTTCTTTTGCTTCAACTTGTTTTGTTTCTTAATACGTTAATACATGTTTTTAATTTATTTTCTTTTTTTTTAAACGTTTGGAATGTTTGCCGATATGGTCGTTTCTTAGACGTGAATTTTCTTGATACCTGCTTATTGACGGTGTTGTGGCTCGAAGACAAACGATCAAATCTCAGAATGGCAAGCCAATTCAATATGACAGGATATATGACACTGATCGTTTTGCTGTGGCATCTGCATCCATCATGCGCTGATCTCTTGGAATCTTAATATGTATATATTTTTGGTAATATCTCGTATTGATGTGTTCTAGATAGAAGACAATCGTGCAATGAGAGAATGAAAAGCCAACTCGATGTGATAGAAAACGCGACTGGGTGCGAGTCCAATGTTCCTCTTTCTCTCTCCGTCAAAAGAAAACGCGCATCAGAAATTGTCGCAGAAAACGAAAGCGGATGTTATTCGAGGCACAATTTAATGTGAGTAGGCTGTCATCAGTCCTTGAATGGCTGATAAAGCAGGAATGATCATTCCGTGCCGGTCACGCCGTCGCAATAAATCAAATTGCCCGCGATAAGGCGAAGCCAATGTACCGTTAATAATACAACCCTGGAAGTGATAATATCTCCGACCGTTTGCTTTCTGATGCAGCCTGCAGGGTCTCAGCACAGAAATAAACACACGAATAACAATAATAATATTTATTTCGTGTTCCAGAACTTGCACTCCTCTTTTTGTTGATACTCAATGAAAACACTGTTGTACCGTAGTAATAATAAGAATAATATTTATAATGTTTCCGTTCCTTAAAAAGCGCTTTATGGAACCAAGTAGTTAATTAAAGCGCAGCTGAGAAGTACTAAACGTAACGCACCGTGAGATAGCAGAGCTTCTTGGACGAATCCTGAATTGCTCTTTGATTAGGCTGCGATTTGTCCTTTGGCTTTTCTCTGCTCCTCGGTACCACGTCCTATTGTTCGTGTAACTGCAGAAGGTTGTTGTTATATTCAGTGAGAGTTTAAGAAACTCGGGGCGTGTCCTATCCAAACCAATAAGAAGACAAAGCCTGCGCGCTTCCTCCTAAACGTCATCACTAGTAGATCCCCTCAGCGCACCCTAGGTAGCCCGGATGAGCACCATTGTCTGCTACGTCGTCTGCTCCATCGCCTGCTTCTTTGGTCATGCTGAAAACGAGCTTACTTTGATAGGCTGCTAAGACCGACGATGGTCGATGGTATCGCGTTGCAAATAAACTGTGGAAGGTCGCGCTCGGCAGTCGCGTACGCAGCCATGGCCGCCAGGGAATGTAGTTGTGACGCGGTCCACACTTTTGTCAAGCTTTGGGGTGTTTTCCCACTTGGGGCGGGTCGGGGATCCACTTAATATGACGTCATGCGCAGCAGGCCTTGTCTTCTAAGTGGTATTGGTAGAGTACCCACCATCTTATTATCACTCATGAGATTGTGACGCTAGTGAGCGAGATTGTCGACAAGCAACGAATCACGATGTAATAAGCGGGAACATAACAGACCAAGTCCGTCATTTCTTAATTAAACTGGCACTGGCTGTAGTGACCACGGTCTACTTTGCCGATTTAAACAATAAAAGTAAAAAAAAAAAAAAGATTCATTATCAGAATCCTTTAAGACGCTAGAAAGCACCCCTGAATATGACGAGCATACGTACAAATAGCGTATACCTTATTCTTACCTCCATGCTGATCGTTACCACCATGCTGGTTCCATTCGTTGACTCGCCATGTGATTTACATTTTTGTTGAATGAGTACTTATGTCCTTTAGGAGCACTGCCATCATTTCATGCTGAATGAGTAAAGACTACAACAGCAACAGTCGTTTATTTGTTTAAGGCGCAAACCCATCGCTCTTTGTCAGAATCTTCGCATTCCTGGCACTGTCTGGCGGCCGATATTACCGCAAGCATCGATACCGTAAGGTCCAACATCAACATGTCTCAAAATGTACTTGGTGTCACTTACTCGCTTCAATAATTTTGCTTAATTTTTTTTTGTCACGTAAGTAAACGAGAATTCGTGGCGGAAGGCTTGAATGGACCACATAAATAAACATGTGCGTGTTGCACGCTATACTATATCGTTTGGCAGACGCGCGTCACTTTACCGTAAATAAATGATCTTATTTATTTGTGCCATTTAAAAAAAAATTAAAACATTTAAAGCAGGAAATTGGGTCGAGAGATAAGACGAAAAAAAAAGGAAGAGATAATAGAAACATTTAATAGGAACTCTGAAATCTTGTTAAACTTGGCAGAACGGCAGCCATCCTATAATTTTCATCCCTCCATTAAGAAGGATTGAATAAAAGGACTTTAATGTAGCAGCTCATAGTTCGGGCAACTTTGTGGCTGATTTTGCCTTTCAGAATAATGTGAGGTTGAAGCTAAAATATATACCGCTCTCAATTACAAAATAAAAAAATAAGAGAAAGAAAGCTCAGGTGACATGAATGTATGGTGACTGAAAAGGGGAGGTGTGCTCATTGCCTGCGTCGATTGTATCGAGAGATCCAGGACTAAATTAGATTGCGGTGTTATAGAATTTGATCAAAATATCTGCCAAGAACCGCGCGTTTTTTCGCCGCAGTATACTTCACTCGTGCTGAGATCCTCGGTCTTGCAGCGTACTCACTACTCAGTTGCACGCTGCTGCTAATGACCGCTTTTCCACCGACTGCACTCTCTCATTTCCTGCAACGGTTTCTCGCTACGAGAATGAACTCGGGCCTTCAGGAGGGCCACAGCTCGCGGACAATAAATACGACATTTCAGCACTTAGGGTGCGGGGCGATCTGTTACAAAGTGCTGCCCTTCTCGAGAAAGCATCATGCCTTCGTAGAATACTGCGGTTTCTCGGCAGATATGACGTCCCCTAAAATAACTTTCAAAATAAAGGTAGCGGAGTACTGACCTGCTGTTTAAATGTCTATCTGAATATATCGCTCATCCAAGTTTGGCGACATACTTATTTATTTTTTTTGGTCTAGAGAAGAAAAAAAGTTACCTGTAAGGTTAGGCGGCGCAGTTCGGTGGCGTTCAATAGCATTTTCCCCTTTCAGACGTCTTTTATCCAGGGGAAGTACATTGTTACTCTTATAAACACATGTACTCGTAGAGAACCTTTTGTAATTTTCTTCGTCTTTCACATCGTAAATAAATGAGTGAAAACAAATCGGGCTTCGTTAAAGTTTTCATGGCGAAAGGGCAATCTGCCTTTGAGATTCAGCAGCGTGGTTTGACGTTGCGGAGGCGTAACTTATCCAGTGAAGTCTGTGACTTGGCCTAAGTTCTGCAACGTGCTCCACGCTTCTGCGATTACATAACCGCGCACCTGTACGATGCCTGTCCGTGCCAAAGCAAACGGGGGCGCGGCTCAGGTAGGTGATTGACTTAGCAGATCTATGACGTTTGCATCAGATTCGATCACAGCGACCCCACACTTCTCCTGAAGTCGCAGATTATTTGTCACAATGGGCCGAGATTAAAGTGAGCTTGGAGGAAGCGTGCGGTAATAGCTGGGTTCATGAGTCGATTATTTACACGCCGGAGCCTGCCCCATTGCGACCAGCATTATGCGACAGGATTCGGATGCTCCTTGTGTTCTTGCGACAAAGACTACACGTCACTGAAAGCTCTGACTGTACACACGGGTGTCGAAAACTAAACTGATCCGGAGCTTAGCTTAGTAAATGCCGATATCAAATCAACTTCAACTTCTTCTTTTCTTTGTGATCTTAAGACAACTACTGTCGTTAATGTAACTTGACAAAGAGCAAGAGCGCCGCCGTGCG